AAAACCGAGACGAAGTCGAGGTTTTTATTCACGATAATCACCGAGCCTGAGGTGAATAATTGTTTTAGTATAATTTCATAGGTGATTATTTGGAAAAAAATAAGAAAATACACATTTCTTCATCATTTAATTGACAAAAAGGCTTTGGCCGCCATTTTGAAAATCGCTTAGGTGATTATCACGTAATAATCACCTCAACGGCAACCAATCAGCGTGGAGAATTTTCAATAATCACCTATGTAATTATACTAATTCAATATAAAGCTTGCACGTGCAAATTCAAATTTTAGCAGCCACAACAGGCCAACAGCCAGAGGTTTCAAAATGACTTTTCTGAATATAGTGAGTTTACCAAAAAAATGTAGATGAAATTAATTTTTCAATGAGCAACAAATTCATTGATCTGATTGCATTTAATGAAACACGACTTGATGCAAATATAACTGATAACATTATTAATCTTGATGGCTATGATATTGTCAGAAAAGACACCAATTCTTTAATTTTTTACATCGTGCTTGGAGAGATTTTTGTGTTTGTTCAAATGCAATGTTTTCAATAATGTTTGTGGTGTATTTAAGCTGCTTTAAGTGTCAATGAAAGCTTGATATAAATCCTCGAAGGTTCATAGTCTTCGCCATCCTCTCTTTTTACACTATAGATAAACTCAGATAGATAACCATTTTAATACCTCTTCAGGAGGCAATTCTTCTGGATTTCGTAGCTCATTTTTTTGTCTCAAAAAAGTCAATGAGCAACAGGCACAGGTGGTTTTGTGTTCTTGCTCAAGAATGTAATGAAGAATAGGTTTGTTGAGCGTTTTAAACCTTTCTTCAACATTGGACATCGTGAAGAAAAACAGAAAAAGGTGGGAAACAATAAATACTTGCCTCCTAGCATAAACATGGCAGGTTGTGAGTGAATTTACTACTCGTGCATAAAGACAATGAATGCTGATTGGACGAACGTGTTTCGAACGTAGTTCCAATTCAATAAGTTCATCCGCAGGTAAGTGAATTGAATTGATTTTAATCAACACTACTAATTTATTGTATAAACCTGTTACATCATTTGAAGTGATTTCCTCTGCTCCCCCCATGTGCAAAGCGCACTCGCCACACAAGACCTCTTCAAATAACAACCAAGGAGCATCGAATAAAATTCCTTCCTGTCAGGAGATATTACATGCTTGCAGCACTTTCCTACATGGGTTTCTGACAATATTTCATTCTGTCCCTGTACTGTTTGAAATTTTTTGCATTATCTCTGGCCTATCAAGTGCTGAAACTCTCTTTGGTAGGTGTTTTACCTTTTTCAAGAAATGACGAATAGTAAGTCTGGATTGATAGAAGGCGTTCCTCTGTTTGCACTTGACCTTTTTGCTCATTCCAGATGAAGAAGCCAATCCGTAAAAGAGCTAACGTTAACTGTATACCAAGTCGTTGTCTAGAAATATTTTTACGGAGTGTCTTATGCATTGCCTCATTCCTGTTCGATCCGCAAGACGGCGGGATATCTTATGGGCATCCTTTTTGTATGTGTTTCCTTAAATTAGTGAGATCAGTTACTGTAGAACGGGAAAGGATATTTTCTCAAGGCATTTTTCATGTTCCCATTTACACTGTTCAAGGATTTTAAGTTTTGACTGCATTCTCTGTTTATGTGGATGACTCATTATCGATAGTGTGTGTTTTTTGTTCAGGTTTATCCATAGTGTGTGTTTTTTGTTCGGGTTTTGTATCGACTTATTTGGAAGTGGATACAGTTTGTTTAAAAAAAAATTGGTACTCCAACAATGCCTGAGCACCTAAAGACAGCACAGTTTCACCTTTGAACATTAATATTTCTAATTCGCTTCCTTTTATCAACTTTAATTGCATTCTCGTTTTAAATTTATTATCTTTTGATGTTTTGTATATCATAGTGGACTCTCCAACATCTAGTTCGCATGAAAAGAGTCCATCTATTTAAAAAAATTGTCAGATGCAGTTTTTTTCTCGGACTTGTTTGCTTGGTAAACGCGAAATGAATTTCCAAATTTCAAATCAAAGTTCGGAAATTGATTTTGAACTTTGAAACGTAATTAGCAATTTCCCTGCCCACTTGTCAATTTCCAAATATAATTTGGAACTTGAGCATGAAAAGTTTGCTGAAACTGACTGTAATATATTATTTATAAATATTGTTATTCAACAAATATTTTGTATTAATTAAAACTGTTACTGATTTGATATGTTTCTAACAAAGGGGGCTGAACTTTAAAGAATGAGCTTGTGACATAACCATATAGGCAGGTATGGCAATTAATTAGGACACTTCCAACTATGTGGTATTTTGCCACAGGTTGAAGCAAAATTTTCTGGTATTTTTTTGAAATCCAGTAATTCAAAATACTGACACAACTTTCCAAATCCCCATTCAATGCTAACACAAACTTTACTCATTCGCTTGTTGAATTCACTTTGATTAGGTGTCAATTGTGCACCTCCATAAGGGCCAGGATGTTGTCATTAACACCATAGGCTGGGTCTCCATAAAGGACATATGGCTCACCATCGGCTGTTTGAATATTTTGTTTCCACTGTATAGATTTCAAAAGTTACAAAGGTTTTTTCTAAAAAAAGTATCAAAATTTTCCACTAATCACATACATGTGAAATTGCAGGAAATGGCCATTCCAGACTTCTAAAATTCAAAATTTTCTAGAATGTGTGAGTTTCTAAATGTGAGTTTCCAAGTCAATTGGTATCATATATAAATCTAGTGTCTGCCTTTCTGAATCATCGTTACATATGTTATAGTACGCTCTAGTTTATCCATATCTTCAATATTGTATTACTGTGTGGGGTTTTACATATTCAACAAACCTTAACTGTGTCATCTTGCTTCAGAAACATGCAGTGAGAATTGTTAACAAAGAAGCATTTGATGCACACTCTGACCCAATTTTCAAAGAATTAAAAATTCTTAAATTCGATTAACTTTATTTATTTAACCTTGGTAAATTCATGTATTCCTACTATAATAACCTCCCTGAAAGTTTTGATGACACTTTTCTGTGGAAAACTGATATTCACAATTATTACACAAGGAATTTTGATTTGTACTACGTGCCCTTTGGCCAAATAAAAATAATAGTTGGTTTCAGGTTTCCGACCGACCATAAACATTTTATTGCATGACATTTCCCAGTAGGGATCATCTTTTCGTAAATTTCAGAATACATAAATAGTCATCAGACTCATTTGCTACAAATTATTTTGTTTGCTCATAATTTAATCATTATCTAGACATGTTAATCCTTGATGCGTTTGTTTCTCGCAAAACATGTGTAGCTCGTGGGTGATCCTGCGTGGCACGTCTGATTATGCGTGACAGTTACTCATAAACAACTTATATTTATTGCATACTCGAGATAAAATATTTTTTTAAATAAAATGCTTTTCCGACCTACCTACCCATATAAAACATGGCTGTGAAACCTGAAACCAACTATTATTTTATTTGATCCTTTTCTAGAACAAATATTTGCAATTTACAGTTAATTATCAAGGACCTAAGTTCTTTAATTCTCTTAGCCAAGATATTCGAAATGTTTCAACTGCTTCATGTTTTCAAATCATTATCTTTTGTGTATGTAACAGTGAATATTATATTCCAGTATCTAATAATTTACATCTCAATTTCTCTCTGTCTGCTCTGCATTAATTCTCTTTTCTATAATTGTAAAAATAATTATGATATGCCGCTTGTAATTATATTAGCATCTACATATTCATGAATATATTAAAAGGGAGCCCAAATGCCATAAGCTTTTAGTTTCTCTTTGGGCTTCCTTGGCAGTATACACTGTTGCGTTGTTTTTATTCTATATATGTAAAACTGGTGAAATAAATTGACGAATTTTGCTAGCTATGCCACTGTGTGTTAACATACAGTAACATTAATGACATGATTGTGATAGTAACATATCTGACATATCTGCTTCACAGATACAACAAGTTCTATTTCAAGTTATTATCAAATCGTGTTATCAGTTATCCTAATTGTTATTGTAGATGAATAAAAATGTGGCACTTGGGAAACTGATGGAAATATGTCCAGAAATTAAGAAAAGATTGTAGTTCATGAATGCCAAATTATTTTGTTGGATAACCAAGTGGATCTTGGCAATCCACCACTTCAGCGGTCAACAGCACGTGTAGTTTTGAAGGTTGTCACGTGGTGCAAAATGTAAACATTGCGGACATTCGCACTGTTGTGTAATAGGAGTTAATGTATCGTTCGTGATTTGAATTGCAAATTTATATTGTAATTATTGTATATTTCGGTGTTGTTTTACTATAAATATAAAGAAAAATGTCTAAAGATTCTATATCAGATACTTAAACAGAGTTGTAGTTCCTAAAAATCAATTGCTTTGAAACGACAGCGGCTCAATGGGCTCATAGTAATTCATACTGATTATGGTTGCGACGAAGAGATGCGCTTGGGGAACATGTAAAAACGATTCTCGCTACCCACATTTGATGGTTAAGAATAAGAATGGCCATCCTGTATATTTCTATCGGTTTCCAGCACCAAAAAGATCACCAAAGAAGCGGTCGCGTTGGATAACAGCCTGTCATCGAGGCGATAACTTTATTTGTTCTAAAGACAGCTATATTTGCAGTTTGCATTTTGTTGGCCAGAATGGACCAACAGCAGAAAACCCCTATCCCATTTCAGCAACAGCAAGTGAACAACAGGTAATCTTTGCTGTTATCTTAAAAGTTTTCCAAATCTCACTGATGTAGTTTTAAAAATATGCTTATTTTTGTTTATACGATATGTACATAGGTAAAGCGTCTTGAAAGAAAACGCAAACCAAGTGCAAGAAAGAATTTAGAACCCACAAAGAAGCGAAGGAACATGTTTGAAAAAGATGTAGCACATTCTATGTTGAATTTGTCCAATCCCATCCGACTACAAACGTCACATAGTACAACATCAGAGCATCCCAAGCCTGTGGAGGATTCAGTCGATGCATTATCTATTGCAGAAGTTCTTGCGACACTTGCCGATAAAGTCAACTCAAACCATAACCCTAGAAAGCCAAAAATTGACAGCTCTGAACAAACTTTAAATACAGATGTTGATGGTTATTTCCCTGAAACTTCACCCACCAAAGATAAGATTGTCAACAGTGACGACTGTGAATCGTCCACAAAAGAAAATGCAACACAGGTAACTATCTAAATTGCATAATTAATAGAGTATATTTCTCTTCATATTGCATAATGTAGTTTTCTATAGGGCTAAGATTGGTAAAGTGTGAATATTTAAGTACCTTGTTGGCAAATTATGAAAGGTATAGTCAAACAGACAAAATTCTATTCTATTTTAGACAAAATTGTGTCTGAAAAGTGGAGGGGGTGGCCAGAATTTACACTACCCCACTTTTTACCAGTAACCAAAAATCAATCACTATCGATCTTTTCCCATAGCCATCAAAATCTTAGAATTAAGTACTAATTGTATCTGTTAATAGACATTATAGGAATACAGCCTGTTTTATATTTGTGTTTTATTACTAGACTTCAATCTCTGCAAACGATATTGTATCATACACCACCCAAATGCTACAAAACCCAAAAATGCTTCACAGAATTCTGTTTATGTGACTAGTGGAAAATAGGGATAAAACTTGTCATTATACAGGTAAAATATATTATTATATGCTTACAGTTTAAATTTATTTATTATAAAGGAAGGCCCTGTTAAAATTAGAACTATAATTAATTAATTAATACATTCACATTGCAGGATTGTCCAAAGATTGTCTGGATTTTATATTTGGTACATTGAAAAGAAAAGCCAAGAGTTTGATTATGTGGAAAGGGTTCAAAAGAACAAGAAAGAATTCGGGGAAATTGACCAAGAAATACATCAAAGTAAGTATAATTAAAGAACATATTTTAAAGTTTTGTAATGAACCAAGAAAGCCAAGTTACCATTAGCCTGTGAGCAGACTCAACCCAAATTTATTAAATGCCAATTTGAGTTGACATTTACAAAATTCAAGTTGATCTGCACCCTGGCTAGGGTGACACACAAAACCAAAGTTGGTGGTAGGCTTAGTATGGTTTATAATTCATATAATATAAGTCATGCATGTATTCATATAAGCATATTTTCTTTAGGCAAAACAATTACATACCATTTTAAGTATAAAAGAACAACTGGTATTTACACTTGTCCGTTTGCGCCATTGCCCAACTATGGCTGTGCTATGTGACTGGTTTGTCATATCTTGTGCTAGTGGAAGCAAGATTTTTATCACATGGATACTGTTCCTTGAAAAGGAATTAAAATTTGCAACTTTATCCGAGATGGAAGGAATTTCCCGCCCAAAATGTTATGAAGAAATGAAAAACCTTCGGGCAATAATTGACTGTACAGAACTCTACATTGACAAACCTTCAAGGCCGTCAAGCCAGCGAAATACCTACAGCCAATACAAGTCAAGAAACACATTCAAAGTGTTGGTGTCACAATCCCTGTTATGTCATTTTAACTTTGTTTCTAATGCTTATTCTGGCAATAAGTGATAAAGAAATAGTTCAGAAATCTGGATTTCTTGATTATTTGGAAGAAGGTGATATCGTAATGGCTGATAAGGGTTTCAACATTCAAGACCTTTTAGCTATCCAAGGTGTTCGTCTTGTAGCCCCACCAATTATGAGAAAAGACAATGTATCAGCTTGTGCTTCCACATTAACCCGAAGAATTGCTACCAAACGACTTCACATTGAACGAATGATTCGAAAACTTAAGAGTTTTGCAATCCTGAGAAAATGTCTTCCTCTAACATTCAAAGGGTATATAAGTTCAATTGTTAAAGTGGTTTCATCATTGGTAAATTTACAACCACCTATCATAAAAACCTAAAAAATAATTAAGAGGAATTTGTAGATGGGAATGGTGCATGGACATTATATACATTTATGCACCTATCAATGTTAATGGGGGGGGGGGGGTCGGGCATATGTGGGGTATTTGATCATCAATTGCATCCCCACCCTGGGGATTTTGATTACTGGTAGCATTTTGGCCCCGAGTTGGGGCAATTTGAACCGAATGACTTTTATTAACATAGTATTTATTGCAATTTATTGCAAAATGGTGGGGCATTTCACCAATATTTATTGCCCGACAGTGTGGCATTTGATTGAAAATTTGCTCAAAAAATCAAATGCCCCACCTATGCCCGACTCCCCCCCCCCTCTCTGGGGCTTAACATTGATAGGTGCATTATTAGACCTAACCAGGAGCAGTTGTAAAAAATGCAACTATATGCCCTCAGTTTAACCCATGCATTCAGTGCCAGTGCTCTAGCGCTTAGAGCGAAAAGTTACTTTCAAATGATACATAGTAGCCCAATATTTTTTTGCTTTTGCTCTTCCTTCTTCGGCTTGTTCAGCAGTAAACCATTTATGCAGTTTTTGTACATATTCATCTGGACTGTTTTCATATATTTCCAATTCCTGTATTAAAATAGATTATGGTTTTTACTATAATTATAACTGATGAGTAGTTAGCATTTGTTTAAATTATTTTGTACAACTTTAGCCCCATGGTGGGACCATGAGAACATTGGCAAATGGATACTAATGCCTGTATATAGTAAATAATTATTATTTGTTTTTAATATCTTCAAGAAATGCTCCAAAAATAAGACAATATAAAAACCACAACTGTTACTGTCCAGAAGCTGTTGTGGTACCTACAGAAAACAAAGTAATGTACAGGGGCCAGTTCAAAGGTGGGTTAACACTAACCATGGGTTAAACTTTAACCTGCTGTTTTAGTTTATGCATTTCTGCACGTCTGTTTATTTCAAAACTTCAGTGAAGTAAACTCCTATTGATCCAGACAAGATCTCTCAAGAAATATTTCCAAATTTATGGATAAGCTGTCAGGAAATTTGCTTTGAATTTTAGGTTAATCTAGGGTTAAGCTAACCCAGCTTTGAAGTTTGAACAACCAGCCTTGATGTGTATACTTACTATGGCTTTAAAGCTAGTATATTCAAAAACAGTGTGATTGATCATGAGTTAAATTTATAATTACCTTTAGTGCTACACGTTTCAAATTGGTATATTTGTTCTCAATGTTCTTCTCTTTGCATAGATGGTTAATGTATCTACAAATTGTAAAATGCTATTAATATTATTTTGTCTAATTTTATGATGCACTTTGATAAGAACATTTAATTATTAGATGATGGGTTTGGCTAAATTTATTTGAGCAGAAACATTAGAATTTTTAACTGCTAGTGAAACTATATTATAATAATTAATTGTCAAATTTTTTACACAATATATACTTTCAAAGATTTACATGCCTATAGGGAAATGAATGTATGAAAAGTGAGCCAACAGTACTTTCAATTTTTATTAATATTGTAACAATTGAAAACAAACTTGCCGAGAAATTTTGCTGATTTCCACTTCTTTCAGAGAGACATCCCAGGTGAGTGAATCGAACCACAAAAAGTACCTGCAAATTATTTTGTACCTAATATTATCTAAACCAATATTTAACATATGCAAATGATACATATGCATGATATTTGACAAGTCTAAACCACAGAGAAAAGACTAAATTATAAAGTCTAAACTAAAGACTAATAATGCAGTTGAAATTGGCAATGATTAATGATGCAACAACTCAGGGATCAGATCAGATGATAGACTATTGACTATGCTATTAACTGAATTATCATACCATGGAGAAATAACTGCTAAGGACCAGTGATAACTACAAATACATAAATACACATAAAAATATGTTACGATTTCAAACAATACATTACAGGAAATGTACTGCATAAATTAATGAATACTCATTTACTTCCTTATAATTGGTATAATAACATAATCTTTCAAGAAGTGGTCTGCTTTAAATACTTTTTCTGCTGCATTATATCTTTCAATTCTGCAAAGAAAACAGCCATTGCCACATAAATAATTATAAGCAACAGAATAGTTTATTCACACATTTACAGTAGAATATATGAGTAACTTCTCTACTTTAAATATACCTATTTGAAGTTGTATTGAATCCATCTTGTCCACCACACAATATAGAATAAAAGAGGGGCTCAATGACTGGAAATTGGCAATTTAGCTCCCTAAAATGAGTTAAAATGTTTCATAGATTAATCCATTGATTGACAGCACTGATGGGGACCCCTGGATGACTACAATTGTCTGGCGTTAGACAGAATAATCGAGTAAAGTAGGGCTGTGATTGCCACTTAAATGGTTAATATATTTAAAACTTACTCTAACAACACTTTTACTATGCTGTCATTCATCATCACCCTCTGCTCAAGTGTACTTATATCGTCCATGTGTAAGTCTACTCCACGGACCAAAAAGCTAGTTGCCGACTCTTGTTTTGGATGTATGTGAGTCAATATCTATGTGAATTGGTTTTTCTAGAAGAGATAAAAATTTGTAAATAAATTTGTGGAGTACTATACAGTATATGGGCCCCTTTCCCATACTGTACTTATAATATTGTGCATGCACTGTAGCTACCTTCTGAATGTGTTTTGATGGTTGGTGATATATCCATTTCATCCACATCTGTCTGTTTACTACTTGCTCCCATGTCGTTGCTTGTTGCCATGTCATTGCTTGCAGTTTCATCACATGAAATATTCTTCATATTATCTTTTAAGAAAAAAAACATTAATTTTATAATTTAAATGTGAATTATGCCAATGTTTGCTATTTACTGCTTATTTGTATGGTAAATCTATTAAATCATAATAGAATGCACATTACCTGTACATGGCACATCCAGTTGATTTGCCAATAATAATGGAACAACTTGAGTCACCCAGAACTTCTCAAGATTAATGCAAACTGAACTCATGAATGATGATTCAAATGGAATGGATATGATATGAATGCCTTTCGTCGTCCAGACAACAAAGTCACAAAACTTGGCACAAACAACAAAAAGTTGCATCTGTACTTGATAATAGTATTTTGACTTATTCTGTAGATAGTATGAATCTCCAGTAAAAATTCCACCAATTTCTTTTGATAAAAATACTTCTTTTGGATCACTGTCCCTGTGTACCCAGGGGCATTTGTACTCTACAACAGTAATTCCACAGTCAGGTGAGCATTTGCAGCTTCTGATGTTATCAACACTAGCTCGCAAAAAAGGCTTCTTTTTGGATATTTGAAAACCCTTGCGTTCAAGGTGGATCTTGTGATGTTGTCTTCCTGCAACATACATGTAACATTTTCTAGCTTCTTCTTCCTTTACCAACCCCCAGTCCCTAGGATTATCAGGTTCATGTGTTTTTTTACTTGACATGTTGTAAGATGGCTTTGAAACAATTGATTTGGCCAAAGCAGTGGTTTCTTGACTGTTCCCTTTATTAAGAGTCGTCTGTCATGTGAAAACAGCTTTGCACTTGGAAGCTGATATAAAGCCAACCTTGTGCAGAAACCAATCGTCACTTTCCCACTGATCAACAGTTGCATGCTCAACATCAATGATTTCTGAATCACTGAAAGACAGGTAATTTAAAAATTCCTCTGCAGTCGGCACAGAAGAATTGCTATCTTGAATGAACTGTTCAATTTTATTCTCCATAATACAAGAACTCTTTTCTAAGCTTTTCAGCATCTCAGCTAGACTAGTTGCTTTTGGTACATCATCTGGAAGGTAAAGTTTACAAAGTAATGGGAAAATGGCAGGTTCATAGCTGGTAACCTGTTTTTTCATTGCACTGGTAAACTTCACCATATCATCATGCGACTTTTCCTTCCGAAATCTTTCCTCTCCTGGATCATGGTCGATGTTTTGTAGCCACACATATTCATGTTTTCTCTTTTTGCTTGGCTCACCGTATTCACATTTGGAAATGTTTACATCCTTTACATCACAAGGTTTAATGCTTGCTTGTTGCCTTCTTTTCCACAAACACACTCCACTTGTCACACTGTCTTTCCCCTCAGTGTTTAAAAGAAACTCAAGAGAGTACATCGCTGCTGCGATATGCTTGCATCCGCCATCTCGTCCCCCTTTGCACTTACAAAATGCCTCGATAACACTTCCTCGGTTTGGCCCCTTTCCTTCCAATATAAACCACAAATCGTATTGTTCCTTACCCTCATCTGTTTTCATTCGCATTGTCAGGTTTACTTTGCCAACATAAACGTGCAATCTGCATTCCTTTAAATATGTAGTAGACAAAGATTCCACATAGCCATCGTCAAACAAGCGATAATCGTCGTATGATTTGTAAGATGCAAGTCCTTGTTGTAATCAGTCGAATGGTAGATCAAATGATTAAAAATGTCGTAAAGTCCAAATGGCGGCGAGTCTATAAAATTATTCTGCGTAGGCAAAGTGAATGGATCCGATACAGCAACATCATGAATTATTAATCGTTTCTTTAAATTTTTCTCTGAGTCGTCACATTCAAAATTGGGATCTTTTTGTAGCATCATTTTCTCGACAGCAGAAGCAATAACTACCATAGCGGGCTTCAGGTAGCCATGGACTGTTACGCCAACGTTCTTGCAAATATTTTTTGAGGGCAACAACATTCATAGACGAAAACGTATCTGATATAGAATCTTTAGACATTTTTCTTTATATTTGTAGTAAAACAACACCAAAATATACAATAATTACAATATAAATTTGCAATTCAAATCACGAACGATACATTAACTCCGATTACACAACAGTGCGAATGTCCGCAATGTTTACATTTTGCACCACGTGACAACCTTCAAAACTACACTTGCTGTTGACCGCTGAAGTGGTGGATTTAGGAAAATTAAGTGGAAATGAAGGCACATAATATGCAGTACATACATGTTCATGGTACGTGCAGGATTTAGCATAAATATTGTAATTTCTGCTGATTTTTATCTGTTCAACCTCTACACTTATTACTCAATGGCAAGAAATAAGACAAAAGCAATATGCAAGTACCTGTATCTTATAATGTATGTGCATGGTACTGTATACTGCTGTGTAGTGTTACTTCTGCATTACTTCCAAAGCCAGCAATATTTTACACAGTATAGCATGTCTAACTCGGGTTTCTGAATCATTCTAATTTTTAGATTGTAAAATTAGAGCTATTGATCAGTTCGTTGAAGATCTATGTTTGGATGACTGCTATACTGGACCTCCACAGTACTGCAGCATGGTCATTTTTAAAGATTTGTATGCTGTTGTTGATTAAGTCAGTATTTCAGATATTCAACATACTAAGGTAACATATTTCAATTATATGCTACCATTACATATGAATACTTGCAATAAAAGTAAGCAGCTTTTGTTCACATAATACATTTTGGGAATAAAGGTTATTTCGTAATTGAGTCAATCGCATTAAAAAGGCTACACAAATGTAACAAGCTCGAGGTAGGGATTTCCCTTGATACATATTGAAATCATGCTGTATTGATTGAAAAAATGCCTTTCGTTATTTGATCGACCTTGCTCCTCAAATACGGGGCTGTTTTGAATCATGCAGGTTGGTTTTGAATCGCACGGGTTGGTAAAAACTTAAGTTTAAAACACTGAGTAACAGAAGTCAAAACTCCGAAGTAAACCTTGGAAAAGATGAACGAAATTTCCTGCCTTGAGTATTCAAGCAAGTTAGCCACTTTACAAATATGGTATATAGTGTTTGTAGCCATTGGATGCATTTTTAAAGCACAGAAGCTCAATGTAACCATTAGTCCATTACTGATACAACATGACCCAGGGCGAAGAAAAATACAATGACATGTAATGCCACAATTCTTAACATAACAGAGTAAAATCGACGCAAAATAATTGCACTATTGGTAGATTTTCTTACTCCTTATTTCCATAAATATATGCAGTAAATTCGAAAGCTCACATACAATTTATTCTCCTTCGACCTCAGCCATCTTTCCATTTCCATAGCAATCAGACAATTATGTAATCTTAAAAACTGACCAACAAGACAAAAGTTACCTTTGTTCTGGTCTGGTGTTGTTCGTTTTTACCACTAGGATTTTTCATGAATGCTTTATAGAGTTTGTTTTTTCTTTTTACTGATTTTGTTTTTATCAATACTATTTTTGATTAGTGTTTGAGGAAAATGTTTTTCTTAAGCAGTTAAATAAATTTCAAGAAAATTGTTGTAAGCGTCATCAGGATTTGTATTTTCATTAAATATTTTTTCCCATGTTAAACCTCTGATTTCAGTAAAAGAAAGTACCGTATTGACAAGATATGTAGACTTTAACACAAGTATGAATATCAGATATGGAGTTGTGAGAATATCAGATATGGAGTTGTGAGAATATCAGATATGCAGCTGCATGCATCTGTGAAATTCTATTATGTCATTAGCTATAGTCATTACGTAGTTGTAGGAGAGACAGTACCAGTAAATAATGACGATGATGTGTAGAGTCTATTTGCAGACAATGATCTTGATGTAGATAATGATAGTTTACTCGAGTCTATTGATGAATCGTTAAGGCCGTCATATTCGTTAGGCCCTTAGGTGGCAGAGAAAGTGGCCAAACTAGTGAATGAGAAATTCTCGATTGATTTAGGTATCGAAAACCGAAAACAGATTTGCGAAAAGTATCGAATGCCAGTGAATTGCAAAATGTTGTATGTCTCCAAGGTTAATGAGCCTGGTTGGGGTAGTCTAAAAGGTTTTCACAGACATCGTGATCTGCTGTCTTACAAGACTCTATTTTCATGTTACCAGCGCTTTGTCAATTACAATTGATGAAATTTTAAAATGATGCGAAACAAAAACTACCATTCCGGACTATTACAAGATCGCTACTCGGCTCTTTGATTTGATAGCCTTAGTATGGCATGTCAATTTGGAGCGTTAAACGTTGGAGATTCTCTTTGACCTCTGTTAAATACAGACATAAAATCTGCTTGTAATCGCTCCAACAAGCCAGGCATTCTTTTTGGAGACGATTTAACTAAAACGTTAAATGATTCAAAATTGCAGGGGCAAATACTTGCCCGCGATCAGTTTACACCAAAACAACATTTTGCGCCTTATCACTTCCAAAAGAGGCAACATTTTTACCGAGATGGTGGAGGGGCTCTTACCCTCCCCAGCAGTTCCCCAAGCAATTCAGAAACCAATTAAAAAAGAAAGCATTGATTTTTCAGGTAACTCAATTTCAATCGTATTTTAACACTAAGATATTGCCAATTCTTACACAACATATTAATTCCTTTTATGGTGGGCAGATCCAGACTTCTCTGCCCCAGTGGGAGGCTTTAACTCTGATCCAGCTATTTTACAAACTGTCTGTGGCGAAATTATTGAATTTCTTCCCATAAACTCCATTTCAAAAGAGCGGGGAAGGGAAAAAATCGACCTAGAAATTACTAGTCTTTTAAATAAAAAAGTCATTGTGGCCTCTTCTACTGAACCTGGTGAATATATCTCACCAATTTTCTCTGTCCCCAAGAAAGATAACAAGGTGTGCGGCTTATCTTAAACTTCAAGAGGCTTATTGAGCATGTCAAATCTCATTTTAAAATGGATTCCATACATACTGCACTTATGTTGGTGACAGATGGATGTTTGATGGCGTATCTTGATCTCAAGGATGTATATTATAGTGTTAAAATTCATGATGACTACCAGAAGTTCTTAAAGTTCTCTTATAAGGGAAAATAATACAAACACACTGTTTACCCCAATGGGCTTTTTCTGCATGTCCAAGAAATTTTACAAAACTTTTAAAGCCTGTACTATGTGTTTTACGTCAGGAAGGCTATATGCTTGTTATATTCATTGATGATATTTTAATAATAGCAACCTCTTATGAACATTGTGCTCGGACGATTTTAGAAGCTATTACACTGCTTAAGAGTAAAACGCTTTGTCATACACATTGAAAAATCAGTCTTTTTTCTGCAACAAAAGGTTATGTTTCTGGACCTTAGAAGTGCTTACATCACAGTTTTCAATCTATATAGAATGAGGTTAATATTTTCTTACATGTTTCCCACAATGCACTGCAATTCATTGTTTGACACTGCCATGACATAAGCACCTCTAAGGTCTATTATAAGTTTCAATTATAAGCTGCAAGGAAACCATTTGAAGATTTAAAAAACCATGTGAGTATATCATTAAAATGGAATCTATCCAATTCATACACTGGCAAGTCTAAATTATAAATGCATAAATACCTGCAACTGCAGTCTATTTTGATGACAGGTTGTAGTAAGTAAACTCCGCTGCACATAACTCCAACCCACATTCTTACATCGTTGATTCCTCACACTCAGTAATAAAGAAAGTGCACTTACACCACATGTCAATTTGTATTCTGCTGTTTTATGAACTCTTCTTCTAGAATCAGTGAGAGAGAAGTGTTTCTAGAACACTATGCAGAAGTGGACATTTCTCCTCAAAATTAAGCAACAAATCAGCAAAAATGTTCATATCCCTAACACTTTCAACATGATCACCATCACCACCTGCTTTCAGCCCAATGCAACAGATATGCTCCATCACTTTCATTTCTTTTGCAATTTGTCCTTTCTGAGACAAATTTATTGGACCATCTCCCTGACTATCTCCAAGCTTTTGTATTTTATGTTGATACAAAGTAACCAATGCTGCATGGAATTTAAAATACTGTTGTAAGTTTGAACAGTGTTTAGCTGAAAGAGTTTTTTTTAGCTATATCCATATTACAAGCATTCAATGCAGAATCAATATTTTCTTCATCTTTTAATAAGCATTGTTCCATGTTTTCAATCTGATTTTGTATCACTAAGATGTCTTTGTTATCTTCTTTAAATAATTCTTTAGATACCAAAGGATTTGATCTGCCATATGATTGTATTAGAAGATTGGTATAAACAACTCTGTGGTGAATGTCAAGAACAATATTATTTTGTACATATGTAAATAAATCTCATAAAATATGACGTGCATTAAATTGGCACAAATTTTAAGAAGTTGAAATAGCACATATAGGTATATAAAACATTATGTATACAGTATGTATAGCCTAGTAAGAACTATTAGCAAAGTTACATCAATATTTTGGCACGACTTGAAAAATCATTTTAAAATAAGAAGTGCACACAAAACAAACAGAATCAAAACTAATTATTTAATCATACAATAGGATACATTGATTCACGGTCAACCATGATGATCTTCTTGGTACTATTTGGAAAAATCGCTTTAACAGTAGTAGATAATACCCCCCCCCCCCCAATATAGTGGCGGGAGTGACGTCAGCATTTTTAGGATTTCCCCGCCATATGACGTCAGCATTTTTTAGGAATAAGAGTGATGTCATTTTTGGAACAATTGTCGCATAGCATTTGTCGCGTAATCTTTTGGAATTTTGAGATGGCGTCAGCAAAACGTATAAAAAACGGGAGTTTTATATTTATTTTAAAATGGAAAGTTTATGTGATATGTTTGCAGCAATGAGTATTTCTCAGGAGGTGCCAAACGATTTGGTTGTGAATGAAGTATCTTATGAAGTGAAGAATGTTTGTGATTTGATGAATGCTGTGGTTTTCGAAGCGGTTGTTTGTGAAATTCAGAGACTATTGAAGAAATGTCCCAGCTGAGAAGTCGATCATCCGAGTCCGAGGAGACACGTCTGTATTATGTTGTCAGATGAGGAGGGATGGTTACTGCATGGTTTGGAAGCAGTGGAGCGTGTGATTGAGCATGGAATTGTGAGGATACAGTTTCTTGAAGCTATTCAGGGGATGAAATTGGAATATTATTATGGGTGTGCGAAAGAACATTATGCGAACTTGATAAAAGATTGTGAAGTTACACTTGATTTTTTGGGGGATTTGAGAGGAAGTTTTTCTGATTATCAACCCATTTTGAACTACCTAATGTATTGGAGCAAAGGACATTGTGCATAAGACATGTTTAGTAAAAAACATTTATTTATTTATAAAGTTGTAAAAGTTTTTTTAACAGAGATGTTTTGTAAAACTACTAATGTTTTTTGACAACAAAGATTTTACAATTTACTGAGTTGTTCTCGTAGTTTATTTTCTAAATGTTTCTGGTACGCTTTTTTATGATCCGTTTCGAGGGATTTGAATGTTTCCTTTGTCCCTTTGACATAATAGGTGTATTTTGGCGGTGAGCTGAAATGACACTGAGCATAGGATTCCAGGGGGTCAGTTTGTGGATTCCATGTCATGTAGAATACATAGTAATGGTTGATTGTCTTGATACACTTGTAGTAAAGTTAGACAAAGTTTTGATCCGGTTCTTCTTGCAAACACATCAGGTGCTGTGTGAAATCTTTATGATTTTCTACGTTAGGATTTTGATAGCGGCCATGAATTTGTTCTATGTGGAGGACGTGTTGTTAGCTTGTTCTATAGCATTGAACCCTGTGCATTCCCCAAGTTTCGTGTTCGTCCATCAGGTAATCCTGTTCATATATTTTACAACCACAGCAGCGTTCATTGTGTATTTTTTGAACCTCGCATGATACGTTCTTAGCGTAGATTACTTCCAGTAAGTGAAATATTGAATCGGCCATCAGAGTCAGTGTACAACTGTTTGCCATGCTTTTTGACAAGTTTAGATATATACTTTTTAGGCATTCGTTCCACGACATTTGTCACGTAGCGTTTGTTCCATGACCTTTGTCGCATAGCGTTTGTTCCATGACCTTTGTCGCGCAGTGTATGTTCCATGACCTTTGTCGCATAACACGTATGATCTGACCTAGTAGGTGTGACCTTGATCTTGGAAGCCAATACGGATTTTGTGCACTTTTGGCGCAATGATGACGCCCATATATATGTGTGATGAGGCGTTTTGGGGCAGAAGCGAAGCGAAGAGTTGTGGCAACGAGCAAGAGCAAGAACAAAAGAAAGCGGAAAGAACATGGACAGACGTGAAAGGCACAATAGGTATAGAGCTAGACGCAGGGAGCAGGAGGAGGAAAGGAATAGGGAGCTCGCGTGTTCTACGGGGTCATGATGGATGTCAACTTTGAAGCTGTGGCCATGTTTGAGATGCTAACGAGGTACCGCGACCATCCTGGGGCGCTTCTAGAAGACAGGATTGCTTTAGAGGAGATTCTGTGGGGGCAGAATCTGGTGTGAAGAAAGTAGGTGAATTTCATGTAGGTGAATTATTTGCAGGGGAATTTTTATGCAGGTAAATTGAATAGTTATAAGGCAATTTTTTATGTGTGTAAGTGTTTGCGAGCTAAGTATGAATATCACATTCGTTTCAATTCTTTTGTTATTTTGATGGTTCCTGTAGGAACCGGGTTTTTGTTTTTTCTTTAAGCGTCAAGCGTCTTCTCCAGCCACATTGCAAGTTCTTCGACTTCCACTTTGGCGCAGTGTTGGTAGGCAGCGTTTTCAGTGTGTTTCCCGCACGTTTTGAGGCAGACGAGCTGGTCGAAGAGCTTTTCCGCCTTGGGACCACCATAGTCTTGTAGATCAAGCGCAGGAATGTTCAGGCAAGCTAGCAGGTCTCTTTCATATATCCCGCCTTTTGTACACAATGGTTGACCTCTAGTTCTGACGTACATTCTCATACAGCTGGGAGATTATCTTAGGAAGTCTGGAAAGAGGAAGGGCATCAACTCCAACGGGCACACCAAAAGGTAATTTGTGAATGTATTTTTGGACGTATCTGCATGCTCTTTGGTCTTTAGGCGTCAGGTCGTTCCACTGTAGACCAGTGTCAAAAAAGGATTGAGCTGTAGCATCTCCAACACTCAGAAAACCCAATTCTTTACAGAAAAATATCTACAACCGCAGCAATACTTGTAAGTTGTTGAGACATTTTGAAATGTTGAACATGTACTTTTCGATCCGCTTTATATTATTTTAACAATAGCCTTGTCGCATAACACTTATCACATGAAATTTGTCGCATAGCATCTATCGCATAACTTTTTTCACGTAACATTTTTTGCATAGCGCTTGTTCCATAACGTTTGTTGCATAACACGTATGATTTGGCGAGTTGAGTTTTTTGTATAAAAGGCAGGAAAAAGTGAAGTGTTTATTTTAAAGTTAGCAATGGAGTGTATGCATGGAAACCCCGCTTCCAATTCAACTACAAGACAAAGGCTCCTTTTGGTTTTGTGGACAGAAGCCTATCTGTGGATTTCTATGTACTGAAGAAGACAGTTATCTGTTCCAGACAGCTCTGGCAGCTTGGAGAGCCACAGGTTTGACGCAGCCGATATGTGAGAGTCACCGAAAGCCAGCGAAGTTTCGTGTAGTTAAAGACATGCTGAAAAAGTCTTATGGGCAACCATATTTTACGTGTCAAAGTCGGGAGAATCCTTGTTCCTTATGGTTCTGCTATCACAACAAACCGTGTGCTGTGAAGCAAGTCAAGAAACAAGGTCCCAATACGGGTAAAAAGTTCTTCTGTTGCTGCAATGAAAACCGGTGTGATTATTTTGAATGGTGTTCTGAGGAATTGCCAAAACAGCATGTTGCCATGGCGCCTTTCGTACCGTTGTTTTACAGTCGTTATTATCCAGATGCTCAACAGAATTAAAACTTTTATATAAACATTTAACGTATAATTAAAGACCTTTGTATTATCATATTTATGAATATATATTCAAAACATTATGTCATTTACTCTTGCAATAGGGTCGGCCCAGAACCAGCATTGGGAAAATGTTGTTGAAATGAGAACAATATCTCATCATGTCAAATATTTGTTTGAGCAAGGTGTAATGAGATGCACATTGTTTTTTAACTGACACATTCAGTGGTTCTCACACTTTATGTATCGCTTCAAATGTAATAGGAAATAACCGATTCATTAGCATACATAGTTTAAACTAATATCTATTTACCCACATGATAGGAGATATTACAGCTGGACAGAAAATAGATATGCGAAGCGCTTTTTGTGTTTTGCTTTTTTTGTTATAATCATAGAAGGTTATTTTGCTTTCACCATGATGAAGTGAATTTTCATAGCATCATAGTATAAACACCGTTTCGTTTAGGGTTTATAAACACAGTAAAATGAATAATTACGTTACACTAGTGCATTACAGTCGTGCCAATAGAAGCGATATGAAAAATGTTGACCAATTCATTTCCTAACTTGAAGGAACACCTCTGAACAACAATTAAAGTTCTTTAAAATTCAAAACTTCCTGTTTCATTGACCAGTCAAATTATATATTTTATTTTTGAGCAATTTGATTGATCAATGAAACAGGAAGTTAAGAACTTTTTAAGGAACTTAAATTGTTGAGGAATTGTTCATGTTAATTTAACCAGAATCTGTCCTGCGAACTCTATAAAACAAGCTCCCATTTACAATAAACAAAACATAATATGAACTGTGACACACTTGTCTGTAAGGCAAAAGTAAACTATAGTTCTGATTCTCAAAGATAATTCAGTATTTTGCTTCCTGAAGAGTCAGACGGGGAAACGGTGCCAAGTCCCTCCAATGTGAACATGTTGTTAACAAGAATAGCTTGTCTCTTCATGATGTAATACGCTGCCAGAACAACACATACCACAGAAACCGTCGATGTCCCGATTGTGATAAGGGTGATACCAAGCCAGTGCTCTCTTGTTTCTGCCATAAGAGAGACAGAAGAAGTCATGAAGGTAGTAAGTTGTGAGGTGGAAGTGGCGGTGTTGTTGTTGTTAGGACAGTCGCTAAGCACAAAGTGAAAGATATTTGGCTGCAGCACGGAACAGTCCAGGGGGTTTCGTCGTAAATCTATGTGCTTGGCATTTGGAGACTCCATTCAGAACCTTGAAATGTTAAAATGAGTAATGTTGTTATTGCTGAAGTTGGCCGATTTTACCCAAGGCTTTACACCACTTGTTAGCTGTCTTCCTGCACAGTTGAGCAGACCAAAGGCAAAGTCGACATTCTCCCATGCATCCTCAATACATGACGCTACCAGCACAAGTATTACACAACAAAAGAAAGATAAAACATGCATTTTACGTGTTATGATGTACTATAAATTCCTCGTAAATTTTATCATGTATTTTCCCGTGCAAACTTTTTAATGTTTTACTGAATGTAACTAGAAAATACATGCATGCAGAAACCCTCGCCTTGCTTACAAAACCATTGTATTTTTCAATATTCTTACAAATGAAAAATCGCCTGAAAATATCACTTTTAACTACAAAATTATTAATTTCCAAACATATATATGTTAGGTATGTTATTATACGTAATGTAAGCCGGCCTCAATTTAAGGTAAAATTCAACCACAAACGCTTCGCAAAACGTTTTAAAGTCACTAGTGTTCTTTATATTAAAACTAATCTGCCTTTTAAAATGGCTTTATCGATAAACTTTGAGTTTGCATTAAAATGATTTCAAATTTTCGCTTGCAAATAACTTTGCTTTCTTTTTTATTTAAAAAATTTGAATATCATAAAAAAGGGAATCAATATTAAACACACAATGAAATTTAAATATATGCTGTCTTGTTAGTTATTTCATACGCAAAGGCTGTCGGGTTTTAAAGCCATTATAAAATCAATATTTAAAACAAACTTACCTTCGTTAACGTCGGCTCCCTTCTTTTAGCCGATTCCTTCACAGTTTCTTTCCGAGAGAGCTTTTGAAATTTACAAAAACTTGCCAAAATGCGAGCAAAAATGAAATATATTTGCAAGAAATTGATCAATCATCAAATCATTTCGCTATTTCACTGTCGTCATGCAGTCGTTATAGCCGTTATAATGGAAACTTTAAATTGAACCAATCAGTGTCCGCTATTCATGACAGTCCGCCATATTTTTGAGATCAGTGAAGATGACCACCCACCGAAACATCGTTGGTGAGCCACGCCCGCGATATTTGATGAACTTTAGACTTCGCTAATGCTTTCGTTTCCCCGGGTGTAAATAGCCGGGGGGAATTAGTACCCTCGCACGGCGCTTCGCGCCGCCGGCTCGGGGACTATAATAGCATAAAAAAATTAGTGTAGTAAATTTGCTTTAGCTACGCTGTACGTAGATGAATTGTTTATTGTATATAAATAAATTGTTTCATCTATTTTATTCATTTGCTGTTTTGTTGCAATGGAAGTGATACTAGATGAACTTCGGGAAAATGGAGTTGATATTGATTTGAGAACACTATCTCATCACATCAATGATTTGCTTCGGCGTCATCAAGCGGTGTACAATCAAATGGTAGTGAATGTTAATGCTAATGAAATGTATGTTTTTAACATGATCAACGTGACTAATTTTGGCTGTGCTATGGCTTATTTGACACTGGTTTATGTGATGCATGCCTCTGAAGATACTACGCGCAGGGCTGTTTGTTTGGTTACAGCCCCTTTGAAAAGTTTTTATCTTAGTGCGTTTCGAATCCAAGAGAGTTTTTTTTCCGTAGAATGATCAAACAGGTGTTTTAGATATAAGATGGACAGACATGTCAAATCATAACGCAGTATGTGTTGTGCACGTGAACATGATGGAAGCAAGATTTAAAACGCCAGCAAATTTTTATATTTGTGGGCAGAGTCAAAGCGGGAAATCTTATTTGTTTCGTTCCATGTTACGGCATGCAGAGGAACTATTTGATCCCATGCCGACTAAAATAATATACTGTTACGGCATATATCAGAAGGAATTTGAAGAAATGTTGCAGACAGTGCCCAATTTAACTCTCATGGAAGGATTTCCCGGTAATTTATGTGAGATGACCCGCGGACATGATAACTCGTTAGTCATGCTCGATGACTTAATGTCTCAATGTTCCAATGACCCACATGTCTCGGATTTGTTTACATGTGATTCCCATCACCTTGGCATGTCTATGGTGGCCCAAGCCTGCCATTCAATGTTTTGTTTATTTATTTTTTTAAAGTTGTTATTTTGTTATTTTTTCTTTTATATTTTTTTCTAGTTACATAAAAATGTTAAAAAAAAGAAATAATAAATTTTTTTTTAAAAAGTTTAAAAAATAAATTTAAAAAAACAATTTTTTTTTTAATTAAAAAAAATATTTGAAATTAAATTTCAACCGGCGGACCAGGACTGCCATAGTATACCAGCATGCTTTGAGGGAATGGCTAACAATTTGCACATCTCTGCTGGGCATCCGCCATATTGAAAAAATGGAGAACCAAGAAAAATGGAGAAGATACGAAGATAAAATCAAGGCCAAAAGGGACATAAATACGAACAGAAAGAAGAAACCAAATGAAGTGCGTAAGCTGCGAAGGGACGAACTGGTAATGCAACGATTGAGCGCCACAGTTTCAGGGAAAGCTCAAAAATTCTCTCGCATAGGCGCTAGAGAATTTGTACCATATCCACTTGATGATCTCACTGTTCGTGGCATTAAAGATGCTTGTTTGTCTCACTTTGGCCAAAGAGTTAGTGGAATGGAGTGCGACATTTTGGCAGGTGAGCAAGGCCCGTCGTGTAAAACACTTGAACAAATAACTGACTTAAATAAGGTCATTCATATCCGCTTTGTGAGCTGTGATAAAGAAATTGTACCTGTTCAGGACGATGAAGCAAGTGGAAACGAGGACAGTCATAGTTTCACACTTCCGGCCAAGAAAAAGCCTAAGGTTGGCAAGAAATTTGATTCATTTGTACCACCGAGTTATAGACCTAGTTCTTTGCCAACAGTTGCAACTGTGATGCCTGAAGTGCCAGTGGAAGAAAAAGCTGTGTACCCCAAAAGCCTTTCAATTTCACAAATATTGAAGCTTGGCAAGTTGGTTAAACCTCCACCTGAAAGAAAGGTTTTAAACCTATTTCATTTTGATCTTCAGCACATGGCATGGTCAGATATAGCAACAACAGTCGAGTGTCAAATTGAAAATGAGCCCTTTGTTTGCCGAAGGTGGTTTTAGGAGTGCATACAGAGCAACTATAATCACTGCAGATTTCAGCAACAAAGAGTGGGTAATCAAGAAATTTCTTCAGAGTACAGTCAAGTGTATACAGGATGACCTACACACAACGGTTGAGAATCAGGCAAAGAAAAGTATTCAAGTGCATTATCCTGCAAAAAATTTTGCAGAACAAATGCATAGCCGAGTTCAAGAAATCTGTAGAGCTGATTATGGTGAAACCTTCTTCTACAGTGATGTTTATCTGGGGAAAGATGAAAATAACAAGGTCGTTACTGTTGAAGAATTTGTAGAAGGAGAGTTTGTAAAGTACATTAATAACACTGCTGTTGTTTGCGGAAAAAGCACCACTGCATCATCCTTGAAAGCTCAGTCACTTGTTCACTTTTTCGTATGAAAAGTCTGGAGGGAAAATAATGCTAGTTGACCTTCAGGGATCTGGCTATCATTTATTTGACCCGGAAATTGCATCTAGGGATGTCATTGAAGGGGATGAGTACCTTTTTTCCACTGGGAATTTGTCAGGTGTTGCTATCAACTACTTTACTGAGCAACATAAATGCAATGCATACTGTGAAGCCGTTGGATTATTACCTTTTAAACAGCAGTAGGTAACTGACTTAGCAAGACAGCAGCTGTTTTATCATATTTTAATATATGTTCTCTTTGTTTTAAGTTAATGACCAATTTTAATGGCCAGACTCAGGCTTTTACATGGCTGTTAGATACTGATAAAATACTTGTTTTAGTGTTCTGGATTTCTACAGGGTGTATAAAAAAACTGAACAGATTTAAAATTGCTCTCAATTTCACAAAACAGCTATTTGTAGCTGTTTTTTTTATATATATAGCTTCTTTGGGTACTTATAATGTAAAATAATGAGAAAAAAATTCTCGAACTCAAATTTTGTGAACCAGGGGGGGGGTGTCTTTTCCAACAAACTAAAAATGGCTTGCGCACAAAATTTAAAAACTGCAATCATATTTAACAGATGGAAAATTTGTCGGGATTTAATTACTGTACAAAATTTCAGACAATTTGGTTTAGTGTAAGTAAGGGTAACTATTCACGCAAAGTTACAATTTTCCCGAAAAATCAGCTATTTGCATGCTTAATTAATGCATTTGCCTAATTTGCATATGTCAGCAATATGCAAATTAGGTAAAGGCATTAATTAAGCATGCGAAAGGCTGACTTTTTAGAACAAAATGAATAGTTAAAGGGCTTAAACTAAACCAAATTGTTTGAAATTTTGTACAGTAATTAAACACCCAACAAATTTTCAATCTATTAACTCCAAATATTATTACAGCTTTTAAATTTTGTGCGCGAGCCATTTTTATTTTGTTGGAAAAGACACACCCCCCTGGTTCACAAAATTTGAGTTCGAGAAATTATTTTCATTATTTTACATTATAAGTACCCAAAGAAGCTATATATATAAAAAACAGATACAAATAGGTGTTTTGCGAAATTGAGAGCAATTTCAAATCTGTTCAGTTTTTTTTATACACCCTGTATATGTAGAGATGTTATAAAATCAGGCAAAGACAAGATTTGGTTCGATGATGTTGACCCAGATGATCTTGAGAAAGTCACCGGCGTAAAACAGATGAAACTTTCTGAAGACGACGATGTACATACGCATACATGTAATGAAATTCGGAAGCATGAAGTGACGGAGCAGGAACCAAGGTATACAGATACTACATGCAGGGGCACACATCCAACAATTTCCGGGGGGCGGGGTTGGACGATCTGGAATCGACTTTCTTGTACTCACATCCAGTCGCAGCGGGAAAAGGTTTTATTTTGGGAAGGCTAATCAGTTCCAGCTAAGTTGGGAACCGTAGTTACGATTTTTAGCCAAGTGCAAACACGATACGCAAAACATAATTGAAATGCAGGGTGCGGTGAATACTAGGAGGTCTGGGGGCATGCTCCCCTTGGGAAAATGTGCAAAATTGAGGATCGGAAATGCCATTTCTTGTACTTTTCGGCACGGAGTTGGAGAATTTGAGTCTCAAACAAAACTGGGTCTGACGTGTGATTTTCCAGTGCTAGAGGAGGGCGTGGCTACATGCATGTACCGTACATTTTTGAAGGTTTATGGAGAGGCCTACGAGAAAAAAACGGAATACGATTGTGTCTGCTCGACTATAGCTGCATGATGCAAGTTAAATTATGCAACAAAAGTTATTTTGGACTGTTTAGCTTTTATGTTTACACTAGCCTGAGTATCAGCCCCTCGGTATTAACTAAGAGGGCCTGACACAATTCGCCTCTACGGGCTTTCCACCCCGAGAATATCAGCCAATTAAAATCATTTCCGGTTGTAGCATATTTCCGGTTTTCCGCTATGTAAATACGCAATTTTCGTTATTTACAGTTTTGTATAAATTTGAATAAATACGGAGAAAATTCGGTATGTTTTTGTCGAAATATCCACATGATCGAATTCTAAACGTAAACCATGCCTCATTCTGGGAACCAGAGCTCGATTGCTTTTTCCAGGAGTCTAAAGAGACAACATTTGGCACACTCTGAATAGGATTTCTTCGTCCTCGGTCCTCGTGTCATGTTATAGTTTATTCGAGACAGCAGCTATTCGCTTCAACTGCATCTGACACAGCGGCTATTCGCCTATTCCCCTCAATTTCTGCCTGATCTTTGCATGTTAGTTCGAGCGAGCTGACTACTATAACCTTGCAGGTCTTGCAAAAAAGCTCGGCAATAAACTGGTAAATAAGGCTTTAGCCTTTATGCGGAACTCAATATTTGAAAATTTCCGAGATCGACATATTTTCGTTCTACGGCGAAATTACGGCGAGGTATTTAGACACGCTTTCTACTCTGTTGTTTTAGTTTTATACCGATAAAAATAATGCTGCAAAAGCGTCTTTTCGTACTTATTTTGTCATTTTCGGCTTAATTAATTGAAAATAAATTTCACAAATAAAGCACTTTTAACAGTATATTGGCAAAATTACAAATTCTATTTTTGGTGTTTACATACGCTGGTCATATATTTCCGGTTTGAATCAGGAGATATGACAATCACAATATACCACCTTTACCCCAATATGGCGCCATCTTGACGCTCATTACGAGTAACAGCAAACTCACAACAGCCCGATATTTATTGACGTTTTTAGCGCGGATTTTGCTTTAGTAAACCTATCTTGTAATTATTT